TCCACGGGCTGCGCGGAGCTGACGACCACCGACGGCGACGACGCTCTAGCCAATATCTTACGGTCCCGCATCGCCATGGCCTCCGACATGGGTTTCGGAGGGCTCTCTCTTCTGGAAAAAAACCCTCGTCCATGCGGGAAATAGTTCCCGCTCCACTAAGCGTGGGCCCTGGACACAGGGCGCAGAGACTACGCGGTTCCAGGGTAGCATACCTCCCACAGGAGGTGTAGACATTCAAAAACCATTGGGCGACACAGGTCCAAGAATGCGAAGGGCGCGCCTGACTAGCAGCGCCCCTGGTTCCCGCGGGGGCGTAAGGGCACTCAGCCAGCGTTTGTCCAGGCCGCCTTTGGGCCAAGTGCAAAGAGAGGCAGCGCAAACGTGCCCCGCCAACTCACTACCCGCACGACGCCGTTTGGACCCCGCTCGATCGAGTCGGCTTACAGAGGAATTAAGCGCGCGCTGATTATTAGAAAGTCGCCGGCCAACAGGAACTCTGGCCAACTTACACTTACATGTAATTGCTCTCACTTGCCCACGCCCCGCTCCCCCGCCAACTCCGAAACCCTCCCAGCCCGCTGATCCGCCGTTGCGTTGCCAACTGCGAGGACAAGTAAGAGTTCGCTGCGCAATGCAGACGGTGCTTCGCCCATGAGTGACGGGAACAAGAGCGCGTCTACAGACTTTTCCACGCGCGCGTGCCAGACCTCGCGGGCCACAGCCCGCGCGTCCCCATGCCTTTCGGTCTCGGGCTGCAGAGCTTCAAATTCCAAATTCTCGCGGCCGTCAGGTGTCCCGCGACGAGCGTAGAAGGGCCCTGGACTTCCCGGAGGCCGAGGGCAAATATCTCAGCGCGTGGGACCGTTTGCTTAAGGCGAGAGAATGGCTTCGCCAGCGCCGCACTCAAGGAGAGGTGGATGCCATCGCCTGCAGAAGCCACGATGCTGGCGTCGCATCGTCAGCGCCTCGGGTCGTCGCTGAACTCCCCCCCCCGAGCCGTCGCCAAACGCGGAGAGTTCGCCGTCCCTGCGGCAAGTTTCAAAAACCCCGCGGTCTCCAAGCCTGTCCTGCACTCTTCGAAGCAAGTCCTTGTGGTGGGCGGGGCGGGTGCGTGGTGTGTGTGTGTGTGTGTGTGTGTGCGTGTGTGTGTGTGTGTGTGTGTGTGTGTGTGTGTGTGTGTGTGTGTGTGTGTGTGTGTGTGTGTGTGTGTGTGTGTGTGTGTGTGTGTGTGTGTGTGTGTGTGTGTGTGTGTGTGTGTGTGTGTGTGTGTGTGTGTGTGTGTGTGTGTGTGTGTGTGTGTGTGGGGGGGGGTCGGGGGGGTGGTAGGGTGGTCGCGCAGCCGCGGGCTCGGTGGCGCTTTGGCCTGGGCTAGGGCCTGCGGCAACATGTAGTCTGTGCGAGTGACATCGGGATGATCTGCAGTGCGCTCGCAGGTCCAAATGCGACGCTTCAAAGTCTCTGGAACATTTTATCAGCGCGGGCACGCGGCGTCAGTCTCCGATAGCGTGTATCCCTGCTGCTGGGTCCTATCCTTGGCCCACTGGTTTTCGCCGGCGACGGTGATGCTCATCGCGAGCTGGTCCAGATGGGCCTGCTGGCCAGTCTGCTTCTACTCGCGCCTGAAGGCCCGCGCATCAGCTCCAGCCTGCAAGTACTCGCCGCGTGGGTTCGCGGCTGCGACCCTCCGCAGTGCGCCGCGGATGTCGGCGTCGAGATCTTCCGCGAGCTCCTGGTAACCACTGGTGGGGTCGAAGCCACCCTCTAGCGCCGACGCCAGATCCCGCTGGTCAGCTGGGCCCCTGTCGTGCCCTGTATGCCTGGGCCCCGTTGTAGCAGCGGGAGGGCCCCAACCGACGTGTAACAAGGTCGCGATTACCGTGCCAATGGGGCATCGAACCGCCGTCCACTTTCTCGTGCCAAGTCTCACATACCTCGATTTGATGTGCGCCCAAGCCTTTGCGACTTTCGGGTGCATGTTCGGATTGTTCTGGGTTGTTCTGCCATAGGGTTAACCGCTCTCGTCGGACAGCACCGGGCAGCTCCTCTGCGGGGTCAGCAATCTTCGGGTCCGAAGCAATCGTGGTCGTTAGGCAGTGTTCGCGCGTCTGTCCTGCAACCGATCTGTCATGCTTGACGTCGAAATTGAAGTCGTGCCTGCTGAGGTAGGCTGAACGCCAGGCGCCCGTGCGCAGCCTGGGGCGCCGCGCCAGAGGCCCAGAGCCCGCGCGATCCTGTACTTCGTGTTGCGGAAGCGTTGGGTAGTCTTCCGCGCAACTCTCTTGCTGCCAACTACTGTGTCCGGCCCCGTGTCCAAAGCTTCCGTCACCTCATGTGACCGTGCATTGCTCACGGAGGCAGTCGCGCAAGTTGGTGGTCGCGGTGATCATCTCATGGCGAACCGACGTCTTATTTATTTCGCATCTGGCTGTGGTGTCATCATCCACGAGAGTCCACAGGTCAGCCCTCGGTGACATCTCATGAGCTCGTTGGGAGATCGGGTGCATCAGGCGTTTTGCCAGCCCAGCGCCACGTGGGGAGCCAACTATAATGGAACGCGCTGGCCCAATTGTTTCGCTCAGGATCGACCTCTTCCACAAGTGGCGCGGCCCAGTGGGCGGGGGGGCCTCGACCGCCAACGCGGCGCGGTGGAAGCCAAACGTGACGGCGACGCGCATCGAAATAATCAAGCCAGCAGAATCATAAACCTTCGAGGTCATATGATATCGTCGTGGCCGAGCCTCGCAGTTCGACCCCTGCCGCGTCTCAGCACGCGCGAAGGAGCCCCGCGCGCAATGCCGACCGTGCTTTGAGGGCCGTGCCCCAATGGTCACCCCGGTGCTGGCGTCGCTGCCCATGCGACGTACCGGCAAATGTTCGGGGCGAGGGGGGTTGCGCCCGGGGCGCTCGCCGCCTTTGGGCTCCGCCGCGAGGGCGCAGAGCGTGGCCGCGCATTGACGCGGCCATGGGCCATTAGCTTCGCAGAACCGAGTGATCTCCAATGAGCGATGTCGCCCAAGGAGCGGCGGCCGTCTCGCTTCTCCAGGGCCCAATCCGTCGGGCACCTTGGCCTTGGAGTCCAAAGCCGCCTCGACGGCCGTGCTTGGCTGCTCTATCTCCAGCGCGTCAAGAAGATCCAGCCGGGCAGCGTCCTCCCTCGTCTGCGCGGGGTCTGTCCAAATCCTGCTGCGCACCTGCGCCTTGTGCCGCGTGGCGGCGTCTGGATCGGCGGCGGCGTGGGCGTCGGCCGCGGCGAGCTCGAAACGTGGCGCGAGCTGCTCCTTGGTGAGCTGGCGCAGTCTGCCCTTCTTGGTGGCCCGCGCCTTCTTGGCCCAGTCTTCCGTTGTGCCGTAAGGGCTCGCGCCTGCGCCGTCGCGCAGAAGCCCGCAGCGTTGTCGTGGAGCAACTTGGGCTGGTCAATCGTCAGCGAGCGCATGTCGCGCAGCCTCTCGTAGAATTTGGCGCGGAGGCCCCCTGTGCTCTCCTTGCCGAAAGCCTCCTTCTGGTCCAGGTTGCGCGCGGCATTGGCCTGTCGGCCGAGGTCGCGCGTGCTCTTGAGCCGCTGGCGCTCTTAGTTGATGGCCCTCGCAGCCGGCAGCCCGTTGAGGAGGGTGGTCGAGATGTCCCGCTCCTCCGCCGGGGCGTGCTGCATGGGCGCCTTGCCGGGCGTCGCGGCCGCGCGCGCCCATCGGACTTCAAAACCTGCGGCGCGTCCCTTGTAGCAGTCGTCGTTGTCCGCGGGCGAAGCCGCAGTGGCCGTGGCCCCCTTCGCCGTGGACGAGGTTGCCTCCCAAACAAATTGCCCAGCGCGCGTGCGTGTCCGTGGTCTCGTGTTCCGCGAGAGCGCGGGCTCCGTCTCTGAAGCTTTGGCTGTCGCCTACGGCGGTCCTCTCCTCCGATCAGATGGGGGCCGCAATCAGCTGGTCCAGTGCGCTGTGCCACGCCTCCTCAAGGATGCGGTATGGGATGCGCTCCTCGCCGTCGATCTCGATCTGGTTCTGCCCCTGGAACGCCTCGCGCAGGTGTGGCTCCAGCTGCTGTTCGCGTTTCTCGGGGTCCGCCTCTGTCATCTTGGACGTCTTGCTATCGAGGTCCGCCCTCTCCGTGGGGCGCGTCGGCGTCTGCGCCTCGCGAGGCGCGGTTGCCGCCCTGCGCCGCCAGTGCCGCGCCGTGCCGTCGCCGCGCAGGGCGCCGCCGCAGCGAGTGCGCCAGGGTACTCATCGAACGCCCTCAACCGGAATCGAGGGGCCAGGTCGGCCCGCGCGATGCAGTAGTCAATGAGACTTCCCGCGCCCGTGTCGCGCGAGGTTTCGCATCTGGCTGGGTCATTTGGCCTTTGAGCTGGGCCGCTGAATCCGCGTTGGTCATCTTTTGGAACGGCGCGTTTCAATCGGCGAGGGCCCCCCGCGGACCCGCCGGGGACTTGATGGGGCTCGCGAGGGAGCGGGCGCGGTCGAAGTTCACGCCCTTGTAGCCTGCCTTCAGGAGCAGGTGAGCAGCAGTCAAAATGCCTTGGGGTTGGCCCCTGGAGCCCGCGCGGCGCGCGCGGCCGCGTAGTTCGTCGCGCCCGGTGGCCGCCAGATGGGTCTCGAGCGCGACGGGCTCCACTTCCCGGCGCGCCCGTCTCAGATTTGGTAGCGCGCGCTGCTGGTATTGCTAGCAACTTCCAATCATTCTTCGCGACTCAACCCTGGTGGGCGATATGCGTCTCTTACATCGTGAAAATGTCCATCTCATGGGTCCTCCGCGTGGAATCTCTGAGCCGGGGGGCCACGCGCGGTGGTGTTCGAGAGGAACACGCCAACGATAACGAATGCGAGCAGCAGCCGCAGCAGGGGCCCCCTTGCTGCCCGCGCTGGCGGGCACGGCTGCTGCCGCTATTGGGCAGGCGGCTCCGCTCTTGTTCGCCTCGAAGCGGGCCTTGGAGTCATCCTTGGCTCCCTGCGTGCTCGCCTCGGCCCTTTTTGTACAACCTGGTGCTGTTGCTGCCGAGACGCTGTCGCCTGCTGGTCCTGGGCCCCATCCTCATGCTGGTCCTCCTTCGCGCTGGCGATCGCAGCGTCCTCCATGGCGGGCGGCGCCGGTTCGCTCATGGCCGTCGCGTCCACCTCGCCGACCTTGCGACGCTTCGCCGCCGAGCGCGCCAGCTGCATCTCCTTGGCTTGCTTACGTACGTGGTCGAACTAGTGATGCGCGGACGCCTTGCCAGCGATGCCCGCGGGCTGCTGCATGTCGGTGAGAAACTTGGCGGGCTTCGCTTGGTCCTCAGTGGAGTAGCCGTCGGTGTCTTTCCTACGCTCCTGCTCCGCGACCGAATGCTGGAGGGCCGGCTGGTCCTAGGTAGCTTGGGCCTGTTTGAGCCGCTTCTCTGCTTGCAGCGCAACCACGGTGGCAGAGTCGAGCAACGTCTGGTCCAAATTCATCTTGTTGGCCGCCTGCTTGAGGACGTGGGACTGCGGGAGCTCGCGTTTCGGCTTCTTGGATGGCGCCTTTTCGACTTGGCCCGTCAATGCCATGAGCTGTTCGGGATGCACCGCGATCTTCTGCTCTCCTTTACCCACCTCAAACTTGGCAGTGGGGGATTCGAGCTCCTTCTCAGGCGAGTGGGGGCTGGCCTCAGGCTGCTTCCACCACGGAGGGGGTGGGGGGGCGACCGACTGTGGCCAACTCCGAACTGTGGATAGTCCTCGTCCCAGGGAGCTTCGGCAATGACACCTGCATGCTTGTCGCAGGATCCTCCCGAGCGCTAGAGCTTTTTCCCCAATCAGAGCTTGCCTCTGTAGGGGTCCTATAACGCTATAGCCGTATAGCCCGAAAGCCCCATAAACCAATAGCCCAATAGCCTTATAGCCCTAGAGCCCTATAGCTCCATAGCTCTATAGCCCAATAGCCTTATAGTCCAATAGCCCTCTGGCCCCATAGCCCTATATCCCTATCGCCCTTTTAGGTCTATAGCCTTATAGCCCTAGAAGCCTATAGCTCTATAGGCCTATAGGCCTATAGCCCCATATCCCTATAACCTTATGGTCTTATAGCCCCATCGCCCTATAGACTCATAGTCCCATGGCCCTAGCCGTGTAGCCCCATAGCCCATTAGCCCTGTAGTCCTACAGCCCTGTAGCCTTATGGCCCAATAGTCCTATAGCTTTATAGACCTATAGCCCTATAGTTCCATAGCCCTATAGCCCCATCTCCTTACAGCCCAATCGCCCTAAAAAGACTTTGATCGGTTTTTCTCCAGTATCATTGTCATGGTCCACCAGCGCCGCAGAAAGTGTCCGATCGAGCGCATGGCATGATGCGATTGCAAAATACTTTGCTCGGGGCGTTAGCGCGCAGCTCGACCGCCCTTGCTGGGAGAGACAGCTGAACTCAAGATGGCGGCGCGCAGCGCGCCCGTCCAGTCTCGAGAGGGGATGCCAGACTGAACAGCCTTGCCTGCCGCGGAATGGCATCATCCACTGGTTCCCTTGCGGAACTTCACATCTTGAACCAACATGGTTTCATCGAGGAGGAGGAGGAGAAGGAGGAAGAGGAGGAAGGAGGAGGAATGAGGATGATGAGGAGGAAGATAATGAGGAGGAGGAGGAGGAGGAGGAGGAGGAGGCGGAGGAGGAGGAGGAGGAGGAGGGGGAGCGGCTGACGTCACGGGAGTATCCGAGGGCATGCCGCAGAGGAGCAGCAGAGTAAGAGTGATGCCGATGGATGGTGAGCACTCCGCCTCGGCCTGCCGAAAGGTGTGGTGCGGGGGGGGGGGGGGGGGCGGCCCCGCGCCTCGCACGAAGTGCGCGCCTCTGCGTTCTGAAGCGTGCAGGCGGGGCACCTGGTGCGGGACAGAAGGAGGGAGGTAGGGAGGTAGGGAGGTCGGGAGGTAGGGAAGTAGGGAGGAGGAGGAGGAGGAGGAGGAGGAGGAGGAGGAGGAGGAGGAGGGGGAGGTGGAGGAGGAGGAGGAGGAGGAGGAGGAGGAGGAGGAGGAGGAGCAGCAGGAGAGGGAGGAGGAGTAGGCAGGTAAGGAGGAGGGCGAGATGAACATGGGGATGGTAAGGAGAACGAGGATGCTGCTGCTGCTGCTGCTGCTGCTGCTGATGATGATGATGATGATGATGATGATGATGATGATGATCTTCGCAGTGGCTGGGGGGCGACGGCCGCTCCGCGCTGCTGCTGCAGATGAAGGTGATGATGCTGATTATGCTGCTGATGCTGATGATGGTGATGGTGATGCTGGTGATGGTGATGATGGTGGTGAGGATGGTGATGATGATGCTGACGATGTTGATGGTGGTGATGATACTGCTGATGACGATGATGAGGAGAAGCGGGATGAGGGGGAGGGGAAGGAGGAGGAGGAAGAGAATAAGGATGAGGATGAGGATGAGGATGATGATGATGAGGAGGAGGAGGAGGAGGAGGAGGAGGAGGAGGAGGAGGATGGGGAGTGAGGAGCGGGAGGAACATGGGGGAGGAATCGAGCATCGAGGATCGAGGTTTTCGGCTGTTCGCCAATCTTGGACGCCCCTGGGGGTCTCCAGAGGCCGTCTTGGGACCTCCGCTCCGCGCGCATCTGGGGACCTCCAGAGTCCTCCAGAGGCCTCCAGGGGCATCTGGAGGGAGGGTGGGGAAGAGGAGGGATACAAGATCGTCGACCGAGGCTCGTTTTTATTCCGAAGCGTCCTGTGTTGAGTCAGGTCTTCGTATTGAATCTGCAGCAACCGTCGTCTCCCACCTCTCTTTGCTTCTGCCCTCCGCATCACCCTTCCCTTTGCTGGGTTCTCGTTTGAAATCCGCAGCGCCGCTCGTCTCACCTCACTCCTTCCACTCCTCTTCCCGCTCCTCGTCCGAACGCCCCTCCAACCCCTCCCCCTGCCCTTGGCAATCAATTTCGGCACCCCCCTCGCATGTGTCGCGATCCCAAAAGAAGCTCCACCGAAAGCCCCTATTGGCAACCGTCGCATGGCAGCCAACCCTGTTTTGGCACAGCCCTTACACGTTTCGTGCCCTGGTGAGGAGCTTGACCGAAGGTCCCCGTGGCAACAATCGCATGGCGGCCCCGCCCCATTTCGGCGCACCCTCACAATTTTCGTGGCTCCATGTGGAGCGACGAGGACGATCAGGAGGTCGAAGAGGTCCAACTTTCTGCTCCGTTCCGACACCTTCGAATAAGTGCGCACCATCTTGTAAGAAGTGTGTGCGATTTCAGGCGCCCTCGCAACCACTCGTTTAAATCGCACAAATGGGCGTCGCGACAAAAATCGAGACATGCAATGGTTCCGCCCTCTCGGGCTCCTTAAGCTTCTAACTGGGATGGCCAACATATCTCCAGGATAATGCGCCCCGTCCAAGTGTCGCCAGAGAGGGGGTCAACAAAGTCTCTGAAACCGGTGGCGTGAGAGGGAATCCTGCTACTTGACCGCAGCAATAAATTCCTCGGAAACGAGCAAAACCCTCAAACGACCCAAAACGATGCGACCCGCCAATTCCCTCCACATTATCCGCACATGATCTCGACGTGCCTTCTAGATGCCCGCAGGGCAAGCCCAATGTATCCCAATCAATAAGCAACAGTTGGACCTGGCCCCGAGATGCTCCAATGACCACGTGATGTTCCCCAGGCGACCACGAGGTGGCCAACGCAATACCGAAACGCAGCCGCATGATGGGATTTCCCACCCCTCCACTTTGTACACTTATAAACAGGAACGTAAGTATCCATATATACACGCACGTATTCCTATTCATATATTTCCATAAGGCCGGGGACGCCGGAAAAAGCGCCCCCCCTAACGAATTTGGCCCTTCCCGGGCCTCCGGGCAACCCTTTAGACGACCCGGGAGAACCTCACGCGAGCCCGAAGACGGCCCCAAACACGTTCTGGCGCGCTCCCGAAACGACCGTAGAGCGCCCCAATACAATCCACGACGACCCTTACGAAGCCGTCATACCCCTAAAGATCGCTCCGAAACGTCACAAGAGGTCTCCAAGAGCACCCCCAAGAAGGCCCCAAGAGGCAAAAATCATTGATTTCTGTTGGTTTTCGGTGAATTTTGGGGTTCTCCTCTTTTCGGCTTCCAACGCTCCAAGACGGCGGTCTTCTGGGCGTCCGAAGCCGCCTGGGAGGCTCCCAAATCGCCCCACAAGCATCCGAAAGGGCTTCCAGGTAATGCAAGAGAGCCCCGAAACGGCACAACGGGGGTCCACGATGGCCCTGAGAGAGCCCCATGGCGGCCCAAGATGGCCCCCAAACACCATCCGAAGCATTTCAAATCGTGACTTGGTCGTTCAGGGAGACCGCGGTTGAAGGCAGGGTGACCCGAGGAAGCCCCCAGAGGCACCTAGAATACGCCCAGGAGGCCTCCAGAAGGCCTCAATAAAGCCTGAACAACTTTTGCGAGGCCCCTAAAGGCTCTCCAATGAGGAGCCTCAGCAAAAAGAGCTGAAGAGGATGGGGAGAATGCGCAGGGTATGGCGAGAATGAGGACAACGAAGCATGGAGGAAGGATAACGAACCACATTATTATAGCGGCGATGATGGAAAAGGCAACAAGGAATTATCGCTAAATTGTCGGCTTGATCTTCCTGCCATTCTGCCTGTATACCAAACTTCAAGGACCAAGGTGCATGGCGCGAAGCGCCACTGTAGTTTTGACTATATATATATATGTTATATATAAATATATATAAGCTATATGCGTATTATCGACGCACGCGGCGTTCTGAGGAGCGAAGGCAATAACCACAAAGGCTGTACGCCTCTCCGTGGCTCCATACCTGTCCGAACATGGCGCGTCCCCCCACACGCCAGCACTGACATCCAAACTATGATGCAAGTAGGCCAATGTTTCCGCTCAAATGCAACCTAGCACAGGGGTAAGCAGAACCAGCGCGTGAAATCCAAGCTATGAAATTTGAAACCGAATTGGTACAAGCGTTCGTGTCAAGTCAGGGCGACGGATAATTGTGGCAACCAGCACTACTGGCAAACCAGAACTGCGACAATGGGGGGAAACCATACCTGTGGTAAACCAGATGATGGCTGTGGTGCCATTGAGCATTCGTGGCAAACCACAAAACGAGCAGCAACGGCCAAGTCTGGCTATGGTGTCAACCGAGCCCTGGCAGCGCAGAAAGACGGCCAAAGTCGGCCAGTCCCAACTAGTGATGGTAAGCGGAACTCCAGCAGCGCAGGATATGGGCTGCCAGCGGCAGTTGCGGTCAACTGGACCTCCCCAGCCCCGAGAGCAACGGTCAACACCTGCTAGCGCTGGCAAGCGGAGTTCTCACGATGCAGAGCAGCGGCTGATGACGGCCACTCCAGATTCTTCAATGAGCATTCCCCCCCTTTGCTACCCCACCCAACGGCACGTTTTGGTCCCAGGAGGAGGAGGTTGAGGATGAGGATGAGGATGAGGATGATGATGAGGAGGAGGAGGAGGAGGAGGAGGAGGAGGATGAGGAGTAGGAGGAGGAGGAGGAGGAGGAGCAGGAGGAGGAGGAGGAGGAAGACCCTCCCCCCCTCGGCGCACCGCGAAGGACAGCCCCACTCGTACGCCCCCACGCGATCCGCCCTCCCACGCTTCTGGAACAGCCTGAAATACTGCTGGCTGGCGGAAACAACTGGCGTTCCCGTTCTTGGCGGCGCGCACAAGGCGATAGGGGGAGGGGGAAGGCTTCTTAGAAGGAGGCCGCTTATTAGAAGGCGCGGGCCATGCATCTACAGACAAGGCCAGCGCCTTCTAAGAAGAAGCATGGGGTGCTTCTAAGAAACCTTCCCCCTCCCCCTACCCCCCTTCTGCGCGTGGCCGACAACTGGCGTTCCCGTTCCTGCAGCAAGAAGCATGTTTATGGAGACGAGGAGCGCGCGACCACTGACCCTCACCACGGTGTGACTAGCACACCAGCGTGAAACAGACGATCGCCAGTCAACGGAGAACGCTACGCCGACCTGTCACAGGCAAGCCACAGCAAGAAGAGGAAGCTCCTCCTCAGATGACACATCGTTTTGAACAAACCATCTTGCAAGACATCCAGCCCCGCAACTCATCGCCAGCGCGTCCCGCTGCAACCTGCGGGTGCCCTCTTGCCACGGCGTCGGAGGAGAAAGCTTGTGTGCGCGTGCCTGTGCGATTGCGCGCATATCTGTCGGCAGGTTGTTGGCGGGCGAGTGTGGATGTGGCTGGAGCGGGATTGGAGGAGGAAGCCGATGGGCTCACGCGACTGCCTCCCAGGGGATCGAAGCAGATTATTTTTTCTCCTCCGATGATGATGACGCAACTGCCAGGGGCCCTTGAACGCGACCCGGGGGGGAAGAGCTCCCCCGATTGTCGGCGACAGCCGGACGTTGACCTTATGTCGGGCGTGTCACCGTGTCCTCCTAGAGGCGGAGATTGGAAGACAGACGAAAAACAGATCACACCGGAAGCAATCAAACATACTCCATATCAGAAAATTAGCGGGCGGCGGAGAAAAAAAACTGAAAGAGTAACTGACGTATCGAAGAAAACGGCGGCGAGACAAACCAACAAATGCAAATCAGCTGGAACTCCCGATAAAACATTGGCGGCGAATCGTCTTGTAACCAGTACGGAATGATTATGGCGGGCTCTGTTCTGGAATCAGTTGAATAAAACTACAGCGAATATATATATACATATATATATATATATATATGCACTGTACATATATGTATATAAAAACATACATACACATAACCATATAACTATCTATATATTCTCACAAAAAACTCGGAAATCAAGCGCGGGCGCAAGCGCTCCCACGCGCTCCCAGGCGCCTCCTGGCGTTCCCAGGCGTTTGTATGCGCTCCTGGGCGACCTCCCCCCAGCACTCGCAAGCACTCGCAAGCGCTCGCATGCGCGCGCAAGCGCTCCCAAGCGCTCGCATGCGCTGTCAGACGTCCGCCGGGGCATTCGCAAGCGCCCGCGAGCGCGCGCGGGCGCTCCCAGGCGCCGGAGTTAGCAACCTCATATGACAAAACAAGCGCGGGGAAAAAACAACAACAAAATGGTGGCGGGCTCGCCGGCCAAAATCAGTTCAAAATGACGGCGGCGGCGGAGGGGGGCGCCCAGTCAGTACTGCAGTGAGCACCGAAGAAACCGTAGTGATAAAAACAGCCACAACAGATTCAAGACTTGTCGAACATGGTTGAAAATTCGTTCCCGTATAATTGTTTGACTACTTTGGAGCATGCCTCCCGTAGAGGGACGTGCCCGACTGAAACGTGGAACGTCCAGTGGGATCGAGGCCAAATTTGGGGAAGAGGCGCCTCGCCGCGCGCCTAGCCCCCGCGCCTGGCGCTCCCTCCCCCCCCCCTGCGCCACGCCGCGGGAGCACACGAGGAGGAGGAGGAGAAGGAGGAGGAGGAGAAGGAGGAGGAGGAGGAGAAGAGGAGGAGGAGGAGGAGGACGAGGAGGAGAAGGAGGAGGAGGAGGAGGAGGAGGACGAGGAGGAGAAGGAGGAGAAGGAGGAGGAGGAGGAGGAGGAGGAGGAGGAAGAGGAGGAAAAGAAAGGAGGAGGAGGAGGAGGAGGAGAGGAGGAGGAGAAGAGGAGGAGGAGGAGGAGGAGGACGAGGAGGAGAAGGAGGAGGAGGAGGAGGAGGAGGACGAGGAGGAGAAGGAGGAGAAGGAGGAGGAGGAGGAGGAGGAGGAGGAGGAGGAGGAGGAAGAGGAGGAAAAGAAGGAGGAGGAGGAGGAGGAGAGGCAGGCGGCCGCGGCGGCTGTTTTGCCATGGACCGGGCCCGCCTCCAGGTGGCGCGGTCGTCCTCGCAGTGGTGGTCCGACGGCTGGTCCTGCGCACTTCGCTGCTGTTTCCGCGTTCGTTCTTCACAATAGGAGCTCGACCACACGAAACCGTCCACAAGAAACCCAACCCAATGAGACCCCAAGAAGTCCATGGAATTTTGGTGTGGGAAAGTCACGCGATCCATAGCAAAACCATCGAAACCCAAGAAAACCAGGGTACCCTGGAGGCAAGCAGGGTTTTTCTTGGCATGGGCCTCCACTGCACTCCCCCTCTCCTCCAAACTCAAAGTTGGCACGCGCGCGCGGGGGAGGTCCATGGTCGAAGTGCAACTCATCAGACCCACCGTCAACTTAGAACACTGGGGGAGGGGGAGGAATTGACCATGGGTGATTCTTGGCATGGGCTTCCAGTGTATTCAGTCGTCGTCGCGGCCCCTGTTGCGGCTGTCCTCGAGGCGAAATGCGGCAGCACCGAGACGAACATGCCGTGAGATGACGCGGGCTAGAACCGCGCGGGCTCCCACTAACAACTCCCATTTGCGGCCATTCCCTCCTCCTCCTCCTCCTCCTCCTCCTGCTTCTTCCCCGATCTCTCTCTCTCTCAACCGTAACCCCCGTCCCCCTCTTCCAGCCCCCCACCTTTCCTCCTCCTGATCCTTTCCCTCCTTGGCCTCTTCCTTTTGCTCCTTCCCCACCTGTCGATTCCTTCTCCTCCTCCTCCTCCTCATCCTCCTCATCCTCCTATCGTTCTTCCTCCTCCTCCTTCTTCTTCTTCTCCTCCTCCTCCATCTTCTCCCGCTGCCCGCCTCCTCCTCCTCCTCCTTGCCTCCCTTAGCTTGTCCCCTTCTCATCCCCTTTCCGTCTCAACGCCAGCGCCGCGGTTTCTCCTGTCCACCAACTGGCTCCACGACGTGGGACCGAAGACCGCCGGGCAAGCTGGCAACGTCACACGAGACGTCGCTAACAGCGCACACGCCAAAGGAGGAAGGATACGAAGTGACCTGGCGCGACCCAGTTCGTGGCCCTGTTTCTTCCAGCACCGTTCATGGCAGTTCTGACAACAATCCAACGCAATGCGAAGCCTTGCTTCGCATTGGCTTTGCGCTGCTCGGCATTGACCTTGCGTTGCTTGGCGTTGCTTGGCAGTGCTCAGGGAACTTCGAGCAGCGCCCAGGGCGGGGAACCCAAAGCAATGCCAGGGCGCCCCGAGCAGCGCCGGGGGGCGCATCTCTGAAGAGGGGCGCTTTTCACATTCGCTCAGAAGCGAGCAGGAATCCTTAAGGCAAAAATTACTTGGGAATCTGGAGTGCAGTTTTGTGTTTGTGGGAAGGGGAAGAATGGAGAACAGCCGCGAAGCTCCGAGCTCAGTTGCTGCTTGCCGCGGGAGCCAGCCCGGGCGGACAAATCATTCCCCCCGTAGACTGACAGAAGCAAACAAAAGGAGTACCTGTGAAAGCGCGCCAATCTGCAGTACAGGGGATGGCCCTGCTGCGCTGTCGCTCGAGGAGGCTCGGTCGGTCGGACGCTGGTGTCGGATGGCCGTCCTCCTCTGGGTTAGCGGCGGCCTCCTCGCGAGGCGCGCCTGCCCAGAAGAAGAGAAAAGGCAGAGGAGGGAAGCTCGAGCAGGGAGGGATGGCGCTCCGAATCTTTCTCCAAGTTCCTCTTCTGCCACTCGAGCTCTTGGTTCTCCCTCCTAAGGTCGCGGTTCTTCAGCTGCTCGGGGGGGGGGGGGGCGCGCAAGGGGGCGCTGGCCAGGTCCGTCTGGCCCCTCCCTGGGCCGCCACGCCGCCCCCTCCCCCGCCGGGATGGCGAAGAGGGCGGCGCGGGCGCCCCCCGTCAGAGGGGCGACGCGGCCAGCGTCGCCGCGAGAGAGCGGGCGGCGTGCCAACGCGAAAAGGTCGAGGCTCGGGAGGCCGCCCTGCGCGACGGCAGCACGGCTGCGCGCGCCGCCCTGCCCTGCATCTCGCGGGCGCCCCGCGGACTCCGCGGAGGGCGCACGAGCGCACGCGCGGCACGCCCTCGAACACTCCTCCGGCACCTTGAGCGTTCCACTGCCCTCGCATCGGCCAAAAGGAAACGCCGCATCTGTGCCAGCCTCTGCTCTCCGTGGCCCGCCTCCACCAAATCGTAGGGCTCCTTCACGGGCCCGCGATGCGCGCTGTACTGGGCCTCGCAGTCCGGGCTGCTCGCCAGCCACACAGCGCCACGGGCGGGTAGCCATCAAGGCGTTGCCTTCGATAATCCTTTGCGGGAGCGCGTAGCCCTCGTCGCAGCGATCGAGGCACACGGCGGCACCCCCAAGTTCCGAGACGTGTCCTACCTTCGAGGATTAAGACGTCGCGTGTAGCGTGGGTCGTGCCCCCCTCTCCCCTCTGTGGCCTTCACGCAGATCGGGCAAAGGGATCTCCTGCTACCTATTTGTGTCCCGCACGAAAGCGTTCACGGTCTCGGTGATGTTCGTCAGCGTAGGCGACGTCGGTTCCTCTCCTCCTCCTCCTCCTCCTCCTCCTTCTGCTCGTCGTCGCCGTCCTCCTCCCAGTCCTCCGTCTATCCCCCTCTCGTCCCCCACCACTTCCTCCACCAACCTCTCCATGCTCCTCCCCTCTCCCTTGCTCCCCTCCCCCCCCCTGCTCGTCTCTCTCCATCCCCTCCTCCTGCTCTCCGCTCGTACCCAGCGGGCACGCCACCCATGCCGTCGAGGACACTCGCAATCGCAAGACAAAAAAACGTGACGACTCAATGGGCGTGCGTCCCAATGTGCCCTTTTGCTCCCGGGACGTTTTGGGGACCACCTTACAGGTCTTTCCCTTTGTACGGCCATGAAGGGCTCTTGAAGTTCCCACCCGCTCTCTCGAACGAGCTCCCGCTCGGGTTACTGCGTCTCTCCTGTGATGCTGCTGCTCCCTTGCCCTGTTCTCCTCCTCCTCTCGCTGCTCCTTTCCGCCTCCTGTTCCTGCACATGCTGATGTTTTTGCTGCTGCTGCTGTTTACTCACCAGCCAATGCCTCTCCTCGTCCTTCTCGTCCTCGTCGCCGTCGTCGTCGTTCCCCCCCTCCTCCTCCTCTTCCTCCTCCTCCTCCTCCTCCTCCTTACCCTCCTCCTCCTCCTCCTCCTCCTCCTCCTCCTCCTCCTCCTCCTCCTCCTCTTCCTCCCCCCCCACTCCTCAACCTCCTCCTCCTCCTTCTCCTCCTCCTCCTGTTCATCCTCCTCCTCCTCTTCCTCCTCTTCCTCCTCCTCCTCCTCTTCCTCCTGCACCTCCCCCTCTCCTTTTCATCCCCCTTCTCCTCCTCCTGCTCTTCCTCCTAATCTTTCTCATCTTCCTCGCACCTCTTCTCCCCCCTTTCCTCCTCGCGTGGGCTCTCCACTTTATCCCTTTAGCTGATGGGCGTTCTTTTCGCTTCGGATGTGCGCCGCGCCGGGCCCTCGCGTTGCTCGTCGTGTGATTGCCATCGTCTTTGCCGTCGGGTGTCCATCAGCCACGATGGAAGCGAATGCTGATGGGCCAGCATCCACGGACAGGCGAGGGGCAGCCCGACGAGAGTGTGTCGCAACAGGCATCAGCAGGGCCCTTCCCTCTTGCGAACGCGCGGCCGCCTGTCATCGCCGCCTGGCCCGCTCGATGCGCTGGCCCGCGGGGAGGACAGGGCAGAGCGAGGCAGAATCGGACTCTTCCCCCCTTCCCCTCCGTGCAACTGATAATTGCAACTGGTTCTTCCTCGTCGCACCACCGGTCGCGTCGGTGGGGCGGTCTGGGCGCTTCGCTGGAAACCTTCTCACCACTCAGGGCCCTGAAGCTTGACTGCTCCGGCGCATACAACAGGATGGAGGGCAGCCCGTTTTCAAACCGTGGCTCTCGCCTCAACGCCGCGAACATTCGTCGTAACATGTCCCAGCCGCTTCGAGGATGGAGGGCGGTCTTTCTTCAATCTGCGATTTTCGATCTAGCGCCGCGCTCATGTTTCTTGCAGGTGTTCATCAGCTACATGGGTGGAGGACGGTTCATTTTCCAAATAACAAATTGTCGTCAGAGACATCTTCAAGCTCCATAGCCATGAATTGAAGACTGGTCCAAAGTGCAGACTGGTTCAACAACTACACTCCTACAAAATTGAGACCGCCCTATTTCAGAATGGTGCTTTCGCGTGAGAGGTCTTACATGAAGACGACCACGCGCGTACACGTCGTTCATGTCTAATCGTGCTCATTTCTAATTGTGTTCGTTTCTAATTGTTCCTGGCCCCCCAGTGGCCAGGCCGCGGAAAATGAAGGAAAAAGAATGCAGCGAATAATGAAATACGGAGTAGGCGCCTGCCGCGTTGGTAGTACTCGGCCTTGCCGCAGGTAGCTGCCTCTTGTCGCAGATAACTGCCTTTCCCCTGTTCGTCGGTGCGCGCGCCTTCGGGCCCGCTTTCTCCCGTAGCGGGGAAGGCTGGGGGTGCCGGTTGCCTGCCACTGCGGCCCGCCTGCGTGCGGTGTGCACCGCGCACTTCCTGGATCCATGACTCCATGACGCCTCCTCCTCTTCCTCTCCTCCTCCTCCTCCTCCTCCTCGTGCTCCTTCTCCCCTCCTCGTCCTCCTCCTCCTCCTCCTCCTCATCCTCCTCTCTTGGCGCCCCTGCACGCACGCGCCGCGCGGGCGGTCGAGCTTTCAGGATGGCCTGATCAAGTGCGCACCGCCCGAAACAACCCCCCGCAGGGGCGCGCCAAATGGGGAGGGCGGCCGCTGCCGCGGCGGAAAGCGGATAATTAACCGCCGCGATAAAATCGCAGTGGCTTCCCCGTCTCAACCACAGCCGCAGCTGCAGCCGCGGCCGCAGCCGCAGCTGGAGGAAAAAGGCCACCGCGAAAAAGTCGCAATCGCTTCCCCCTCCCAGCCCAAGGGGGGGAGGGGCACGGCGAGGGTGGGGGGGCCTTGCTGAGAAGGCCTTCCTGGGCACGCTTTCGAACTACGCTTGAGGGAAGAAATTCAGCAACGCTCCCCCCCCTCCCCCGCAATTCAGCGTTGGAACGTTCCTCGAAAAACTACTCGGAGGCCCAATGTCGGAAGATCCGAAACCAACGCTGCGTTTTGGGGGGAGGGGGAGGCGTGGGAGCTCACACCACACGTTCTGCATGGGTCTTGCCTGACTGCTTCCGACGCGCGTAGGCCCCCCGGACTCTCTCAGAGGCGCGGGGGGGTGGGTGGGGCCCTCACTGGCGGCCCCGCGCCTCGCCCAGCCTCCCCGACGCGCCGCCACGCCGACCACACACGGCACTCTGCCATTCGTTTTCGTGTTCGAAAATATAATAGCTTATATTATTACTGCTAATATTATGGTTATTATTATTCTTCCTATTATTATGATTATTATTCATACTATTCTTATGGTTATTAGTAGTCGTAGTATTCATAGTATTAGGAATACTATTGTGAGTGCTATTATTCATTATTCTTACTTGAAGAACCTATTCCGCGCCACTCCGGTCGCCGTGGTGCGGTTGGCATGCTCAGCATCGCCGTAGCTTCTGCAATCTTTGGCATCCTCGCCCCCTCCCTGCTTACGAGCAGCTCGCCGCCATCATCACGGTCATCGCATTGATGCTCATTAGTGCTCGATGCTTTCTCCTTTTCGGAAATTTCGCCATCGCCCATCCCCTCTGCAACACGCATAAGCTCTTCCCCCTGCTGCAATGCCTGCCCTATGACGATTCTGCCTTCTCTTCTGCTTCAGCGTGGAAGGGTCCTGACGCATTCCGTCTCTTGAACTACCATCTTGGGCGCTGCGTTGGCGCGATCTGCGGCAGGATGCGCAAGCGACATCCAGAATCTTGTTGTGCAGCCCGCATGCCGTGCACCGCCATGGAAGATGCTCCCCGCACATCTCGCAAGTGGAGCGCGCGCCTGCTGAGGCGGCCTCTTTATCCAATTACCCTGCGAATGCGAAACATGGGCACCGATTTGAATGATGACGCCACACATGGTGCTGCAATAAACGCGGAACATCTACGCGCGCTGACTCCATGTCGACGGTGCACTTGTCGTTGCCAATTGACCCAAACTTCGACGCCGCGACACCGCGCCTGCTCCGCTCCCGCTTGGGACGCCCCATTGCCATGCCTGCCACGTCGCGATGCTCTTGGGGCTCTGACCAGACCTTCGCCTGCCACCCGAAACGGCAACCCTGCAGGAGGAGTCCCAAACCATCTGGGCGCAGCCGGCCTCGTGGCACGCCCCTGATCGGCCCCTTGCGTGCGAGGCCCAACGGCACTGCGTGCTGCATCGGGGTGATCATGGGGCTCTGAGACCAGACGTGCCGACATGGAGGAGGAGCAAGAACACATAACCATCAAACTTGTGGTGCTCCACGCGGAGCGCCAAAAGTTGATGTTCATAGCGTTTCTTCTTCTTCTTCTACACCTCCTAAGCAGCCATTCAGCCTGAGAGGCCCCGACGCTCCGGGCACGATCGGGCCCGTGGGACACCCCTGGTCGACCGACACCCTCTCGGGAGGCCCGAGCACCATGCCTGCTGCATGGCGATGGTGAGGGGGCTCTGAGCAGAGACGCGCCGACATGCCCAGAACGGGGCGCTTACCTGATCTGGCCAAGTCTGAGCGGATCTGCGCGTGACTGGCCGTGAGCATGAGCGGGTCCGAGTACGCGGCAGTAAGGGTGGTCTGACTACAACTGTGCGAGCGGGTCTGAGTGCGAGTGAGTCAGAGCATGTGGTGGTCTGACTTCGAGCGAGTCAGAGTGTGAACGAGTCTGAGCCGAATGTTTCTGACTCAGCGAGTCTGGATGCGAGTGGGTCGAAGGATGACTAGGTGAGTCTGAGACAGGGATGCGGAAGGAGGACGGTGAGGCGGACGCGTCCCACCAAGAGCAGCAACCCCGTGTTTGGGATATAGAGGTGACGAGATGAACAGAAGATGTGGCCAGAAAAGCAATAGGAATAGCCCGATGAGGCCTGTATCAACCATTATCGCGCAATGGTCACATATGGGACCGAGGCGCGATATATGGACGCTTCTGTACCAGCTGCAGTATGAAATTCAAACGCAGTATTTGGAGAGGAAGAAGCAACAAATGGCGATGACTGACCGAACTGCTCCTTTAGCGTTCCCCTGGCACCCGCGCCTTCATCGTTCTCGAATGTGCACTTCATGCAGAATATCCGCCAGGCACTGTCGGTGCAAAAGCTTGGGAGGTTGCCTGCGTCATTACCTGTTGACCTATTGATATAACCTTGGGTACCTGGGACAACACCCAACCCAGGAAAATGACAACGCTTCCATGAAAATTGCGTCCCACAGACCACAGCCATAAACGACACCCCTGCTCACCGTTCGCGCTTGTGGCACTTCCGAGTCGGATCGCTCCAACACAACATGGAGCGACAACAAACAACTGCTCTTGCGCCATATGGACACACTGGATGGACACATTGGATGAGGAGAGGGGGAAGCGTCCTCGTCGTCCTAGTCGTCGTATTCGTTTTCGTCGTGGTCCTTTCCTCCTCCTTCTTGCCCTCCGACTCGGCATCCTCCTGCTTCCAAATTTCGACCGTTTCTGCGCTCGAACCGCCCCGGCCGAGCCCCCGCGCGCGTGGGCTCGAACGCCGAGTCCGCTGGCATCTGCTCAGAGGACGTGCCGGCCCCGCCAACACGAAAGGCCGCTCCTCTCCGACGCCCGAAGCTTGCCCTCGCTCGGACGTCCCTTCCCTGTGCGCTTTTCGGTCTCGTGCGCGCCTTTTTCTGCCAGATGATCCAGGATGCTCCTCGATGGTCCTCGCTGAGGAAAAAAAGGTGCACGCGTCCGAGCGATGCCAAGCTGAACTGAGGGCAACGCAACTGGAGACGATGCCCGACAGCAGATGACTGCCCCGAACCAGCAGCGGCCTCTGTTGGGCGGGAGCCCCTCCCCACGAAAAGACGGCGCCCGCAGCGGTGCATCACCGTGACGATAATTTCTTTCAATATGCCTTCGCCACTAGCGCATCAGGGCGGAATAGTTCGGAGCAATCGTACTCCAACTACTCCGCGTGCGGGCGCACCCTGCTCGATACTTTCGAAGGCGTGGGCGCGGAGTATTTTCCGATCCGGTTTTGGGGTAACAGAGTTGCGAGCATCAGGCGGATCGGAAACTACTCCGCCGAATAACGCCATCATCATGACGTTCGGAATCTTACGAATAATGGGGTATCTCTTCGCCCAACCGAACACGAACACTGCGCGAGACGGACACGACCTGCTTCCAAGATGCTCACAGGAGCCTGCGCTCGTGGCCGCCAGTTGGACTCGGCGGCGAGCGAGGGGGGGCAGTGAGAAGGGGCGGGCCTTCTCAGAAACCTCGGACATCCCCCGGCCTTCTGAGGTGTTTTCCCCGGAGCCCTCCCCGCAGACAGAACAAAAGACCTCTCAGAAGGCGCGAGGGCTTCTGAGGAGTCCGCGCCGCCTTCTGAGAAGGCCTTCCCCTTCTCACTTGCCCCCCCCTCCGGGTGTCGGAATCCATTAAGCAACACTCACGCGTGATGTATAGTGTGAACTCGTCCCCCCTCCCCCCAAATGCAATGTTAGGCTTGGACCTCCCGAGTTTGAGTGTCCGCCAGTTGGACTGCACCTGCAGCCGATCGCATGCCACCTCAGGCTTGTGCCGCAGCAGCTTGCGCGCGGGACTGTAAACGGGCTCGACATGCGCGGTTTCCCCCGGGGCCGTAGGCGACCCGAGGAGGAGGAGGAGGAGGAGGAGGAGGAGGAGGAGGAGGAGGAGGAGGAGGAGGAGGAGGAGGAGGGGAGGAGGAGGAGGAGGAGTTGGAGGAGGAGGAGGAGGAGGAGGATGGAGGAGGAGGAAAGAGGGAGGAGGAGGAGAGGAGGAGGAGGAGGACGAGGAGGAGAGGAGGAGGAGGAGGAGGTGGAGGAGGAGGAGGACGGGTCGCCTAAGCCCTTCGGAGAAACCCTCCAGCTCGACATCTGGCGGCGCTTGGAGAGACGCGAGGGCGGGCGGCGCGCGCCAGGCGCTCGGGGCCTCTGCAGAGAGCCCAGGGGCCCTGCCGCAGCAGCGGGTTCGCTGTCTCCCAGGCGCTGACCACGGCATCCCCGACATTGTGAGAGTTTTTTGTATTCGGCGTTTCGACACTGGGCGGAGAGGGGGGGAGAGGGGGGGGGGTCTGGCTCCTGACCTCTGCTCAGTGCGACTGCTTGCAAGAGTGCTGCCTCTGTGGGGGACTCCATCCGCTCGAAACAGGCGCCAAAAAAACAGCCAATATCTACTCCATGGGGGGGGAGGGGGGGGGAAGCCCGCGCCGATCGGCAAAACAACGAATAAGCAATGATCACCATTTAATGGAACTTCACCGATGTCTCGGCCAGCGCCTACAGTCAACCCGTATCATGAGGATGCGCGGCAAGGATGCAGGGGCCTCGGAGGGACACGCCGACACTTTGCGCGCGGGGCGCGGCCAGCGAAAGCGGCCAAGGATGGGCCGGGGAGGTAAGGATGCAAAGGGAACCTTGGGAAGGTTGCCCAGCCTTGCTATGCGGGTTGACTGTGCACCATGCGCAGCTCTTCACCACCCTGTAGCTGTCTCGTTCGAGCGCGCCGTTCACGTTTAGTAGCTCTGCTCACCGATGCGTCCGGTCATTTTCGCACATTCCTTGCCCCGGGGTGGCCAGGAAGAGATCGGCAACAGAGCCGCCGCTGTACATGAACGGAACACTGCTAGGCCCTCGAAGCCCAGGCACTCATGTTGGGTTGTCGACGGACTTGGGATGAAGAAAGATCCGCAGGAGGAGGAGGAGGAGGAGGTCATTATGAAAACACGGGAGACGCCTGGTGACCTCTCCCAGACGACCAATGAAGAATGCTGAGCCGGCATGCCGAAATCACAGAAAGGACGTCCGTCTGGCAAGTCCGGAGACCGGGCCGCTGCTCCCCCGGGTGCTCCCCCGAAGGAGCACACGGGGGGACGGAGGCGAGCCGCACGCAGAGGCCCTGCCACCGACCGCCCGAGCTTGCGAGGAAGCGGTGTGCACTTCGCCGCAGCCGATCCGCGAACTGTCGTGCGGCTGCGCTTCGAACCCCCTCTCCGCGCCCTTCGTCCGTCGGGGCCCCGAAGCCCGCCCGGGGCCTTCCCTCGGGCGGCCCGGCGCACACCTCGCAGACGCCTCTCGGTGCAAGGCACCTGGAGTTCCCGTCTCTCCTCGTCTTCCGCCTGCTTCCCCCCCCTCTCTCCCCTCCCCGCCAGCCTCCTCCTTGTCCCCTGCTGCTGCTGCTGCTGCTCCCTCCTCTTCCCTCTTCTCCCCCTACTGCTGCATTCCCCCTGCTCCTCCTCCCTCCTCCTCCTCCTCCTTCTCCTCCTCCTCCTTCCTCTCCTCCTCCTCCTCCTCCTCCTCCTCCTCCTCCTCCTCCTCCTCCTCTCAGGTCTCCTCCTCCTCCTCCTCCTCCTCCTCCTCCTCCTCCTCCTCTTCCTAGCCTCCCCCGCTCTTCCAGCCGAGAGGTGCCAGCGCGAAGCGCCGAGGATGGCGTGCGGCTTGGTCGGCAGGACCGCGTCGCACGCTGGGAGCGGGTCTTGTCCCTTTCTCTGGGATCGGCAGCAGACGGTGCGCGCTCGGCGGACGGGATGATCAATGCGGCAGCCAGGATGCGGAGGATCAAGAGGGAGGAGGACGAGGAGGAGGAAGAGGAAAGGAAGGAGGAAGGATCAAGAGGCTGAATGATGATACTGATGACGATGACGATGACGATGACGATGATGATGATGATGATGATGATGATGATGATGATGATGATGATGATGATGATGATGATGGTAATGCTGCCGCTGCTGATGATGATGCTGCTGCTGATGATGATGATGGTGATCATAATTATGATGATGCTGCTGATGGTGATGCTGATGGTGACGAGATCATGATGGCGGCGATGATGGTGCTGGTGATGATGACGCAGATACGATGATGATGACGATGCTGATGCTGATGATGATGCTGCTGATGATGATAACGACGATGATGACGATGACGATGATGATGAGTAGGAAGAGGTGGAGGAGAAAGAGGAAGGAGGAGGAGGAAGGAGGAAGGAAGGAGGAGGAATAGGAGGAGAAGGAGGAGGAGGAAGAAAGAGGAATGCGGGAGCAAGGAGGAAGGAGGAAGGACGGCTGAAGGAGGACGTATGAAAGATGAGAGAAGCAAGCTAGGTGCGCTCTCGCAACATGTGAAATCCGATCCCTTCCTCCCATCCCTTCCCATTGAGGAGGGAGAAAGATGATGATGATACTGATGCTGATGATGCTGATGATGATGATGCTGATGCTGATGCTGATGCTGCTGCTGCTGATGATGATGATGATGATGCTGATGCTGATGCTGCTGATGATGATGACATGCTGATGATGATGAGGAGGAGGAGAGGAGGAGGAGGAGGAGGACGAGGAGGAGGAGCAGGAGGGGGTCAAGGAACAAGAGAAAGAGGACGATGAGGAGAAGGAGATGAGGATGATGAGGATGAGGATGAGGAGGAGGAGGAGGAGGAGGAGGAGCTGCAGGAAGGGCACGGAAAGTGGGCGAGGTGGGGGGGATACTCAGGATGAGGAGGGTCGCCATCATGCGGATGATGGTGATGAGGATGCTGCTGATGGTGATGAGGATGATGAACGTAAGGAGGAGGAGGAGAAGGAGGATGATGAGGAGGAGGCGGAGGGGGAGGAGGAGGACGAAGAGGAGGAGGAGGAGGAGGAGGAGGAGGAGGAGGAGGAGGAGGAGGAGGAGGAGGAGAGGGAGGCGGAGGTGGATAACGATGCTGCTGATGATGACGATGATGCTGGTGCTGATGCTGCTGATGATGACACTGATAATGCTGATGCTGACGACGACGATGATGATGGTGATGATGATGCTGCTGATGATGATGCTGAGAACGAGGATGCTGATGATGCTGATGATGCTTATGATGAGGAGGATGAGCAGGAAGAGGAGGAGGAGAATGGTGACGAGGAGGAGGAGCTTGAGAAGAGAACGAACGATGCGGTGTTCGCGATTCGCAACGGGACGGCAGCCAAACGGCACTCGAACTCGTCGTCGCTGCCGCGCGGGTTGGATGCTGGAACCCCACGCGTCCACCGAGAGGGGGAGGGAGGAGGAAGC